GTCTACAGATCCAAAGGTCATAATAGTCTTAACTCGTGCTGAACCAGCTCTGCGTGTATTCACTGAGCTAACTGATGGAACCATTGGTACATTGGAGTTTGTTGGTGTTTGGCTCATGCTTTACTCAGGGATTCTGTTCAGTAAGCAAAATCAGTTGTGTATGTAACATAAATGACACTTTATCCCAAGATGGTACGATGGTCAAAACAAACGAAACCAAGTGGAAGAGCGAGAGCAAGAAACAAACTCGGTATAATAATGTAGATATATGAGACTAAGCGTCACCAAGGCGAAACACGACAAAAATGAAACACATAACAAAAAAAAAAGGTTCTCAAAAACTTGTTTTTGAGAAATATTTGAGGATTGTAACTCGGTCATGTGATGTCCCAAAGCTGTCGTCAGCCATTTTGTAGCCAAAGCTAGGAATGGACTGTAAAATGGATCAATATCTAAGCAAAAGTCACATTATGTAGATCTTCAAGTGTATTTTCCAGGTGGGAAATCATAACGCGTGTACACTTTTAACATGCGATTTAGATTATTATTATTTTTATTTTTTTTAATTGATCAAATAATAGCCATGGTGTGAAGGATAAGCTGACCATGCACTTGGTCATCTGGATTCTATTGCATGGAAGCTAACAATAATTCTCTTGTATGTTAGAATCCCATTAAACTGTATGTCTGCGGCGTATCGTCAAGCATTGAAATGATCAAAACATAGATATAGCAAAACCAGTATGACCAATTAGGCTATTTTAAGCTATTCTAGGTCAGATAAGCCATGCCTGAGCAAACTGACCACACCATAATACCGGGACCTTGGGGCTTAATTAGTGCTGGTGAACAAAAGACTTTATGTCGAGATAAAGCTTTATGCAGAGGCAAGAGACACAGTAAAATTAGATTTGGATTAATCTGCCAGCGCGAAGCTCATTACAAAGCAAATAATAAACAGTAAGTAGGAGGGCACATCGTTCATGTCTTAGTATATAAACAGCACACAGCAGGGAAAATTAACAGCGCTCATTCGAGATACTGTGTGAGAACCAGGATAAACAACCCATTAAACTAACACGCAGTGATATTTCAATTGAAGTGAGTACATCTGAACATCTTTTTCCTCCATACTGGACTGACAAAACTATCCATTCCATGGACTACGCTATTAATAGTAATAATAATAATAATAATAATAATAAGTTATCCTGAATATCCACGCTGAAATTTGGAAACCTTCATCGCCAGTGCTGTGTGATTGGACTGGATTGATAAAATCTTCTTATTCCTACTATTGCATTGGTTTCTAAGCCTTTTCCCCACATGCTCCTGGGCTATAATGGAAACAGAACCCTGAATACCCTTAAGATGATGTCAACTTTCCTGAAGTAATACTACACAAAATAATCACCGTCTTTACCCAGACCCTGTGTTACGACCATCTTTATTAATCCCGGGTATTACCGAATATTCTATTCCCGAACATTATCTATCGTCAGGGATACGGTGGATTCAGAGTCTATCACAGGAAAGTGGTGCGTGAGGCAGAAATTGATCTCGGATGCCAGTCCATGCAAACACACATTCACACACACACACACACATACACAGTAACACAAGCTCAGGATTGAACCATGGACCGTGAAGCTGCAAAGCTCCAGCACTCTTCTGTTTCATAAAACCACTATTCACACCGCGTTCTTGTTCCGACATTAACTGAATAAGATCTTCATTACTACACGCATTTTATCTCTTCGTGAATAATTGTATGAATAATGGAAAATAAAATGATTAATTACTTGCATTTCCTCTATAGTCCCGAGATTTCGACAGAGCCGCGACCTTTTTCTACCATTTTAAAGCGACAACTAGGGCATGAAACTAGAATATGGGAAACAACGAGACGTAAAATGCTGTAAGAGAAAACGTGTGAGTACAGTCAGGAAAGAAATCAATGACATGACAGTGCTGGAGACAGGACCACGACCAAAATAAAAAGCACAGGGAAAAACAAAAAGGAAAGTACATAAAGAACCAAGAGCTAGCGGGATATGCTTAGAGGAGAAATTAGTGACCTTGGTAAATAGGTTTTAGGGCATTTCAACCCCGGGGTATATATAGGCACACTCTGACCGACCAATGAGAGGACGGTTTGCTAATTAGTCTGCACTTATATAGCGCTATTGTCTCATTCACCCATTCACTCACACACCAATGGTAGCAGAGCTGCCACGCAAGGCGCTAACTCGCCATCGGGAGCGACTTGGGGTTCAGTGTCTTGCCCAAGGACACTTGGGTATGTGGAGTCACGTGGACCAGGACTTCGAACCGCCAACCCTACGATTAGTGTACAACCCACTCGACCACCTGATCCACAGCCGCCCCAGTTTGCTCACATGTGACTTGCATAAACACATTTCTGGTACGCTTTGAAGTGTTGCCTTGTGAACGTGAACTGAGCCAAGGAAAAAGCACAACATTGTAACAATTTAAGTCCTTGTTTTGGAACAAAGCACAGATCCACGGGTCTGAAAACACCCTCAGACTCGTTCCCAGAAAAAAAAAAGTCATAATTTTTTAATATCGGCTGCTTAAATGTTTAAACATTTTTGTGATACATTTTTAATTATAATGACCAGATGCAGATTTTCCCTCTAGTATGCTAATTCATTAAGGTTGTTTGTTTTCTCAGAGCCTATTTGGCATGACTGTGAGGCGCAGCATCTTCCGGATCATTGCTGACAGTATTTCATTAATTCGGCTGCATCGCAGTGTGTGTGTGGATGAAGCCTGCTGTGATTCTGATCGATTCGTTATGGAAAATGTAACAGACGACTCCGAACTGAGCGTGTATTACATGAGAAATAAGAAGTCAACGTTGAATGCTAAGTAACATAATTGATAATATTGTGCTTTCCAAGCCAGGACGTTCGTTAAACCATTAAATGGTGCATGAGTGAGCGTTTAAGAAGACAGCTTGATGGAGTCTGAGGTGAAGTTTTGTCTCTCTGCGTTTCTGTTTAATATAAATATAAATGAGATGAAACATTCATCTTTGAAAAACTGCTTTATCCTGGACACGGTCATTTTGGGGTCTAGAGCATCTCACATAAACACACACACACACACATTTGTCTTGATATCCTTGTTAGGACCTTCCATTTACATAATTATCAACGCAGCAAATTAATGCTACGCTTACACATAAATCTACCTCGAGCCTTAACCTAAGTAATGTAAAGCAAACCTTCAGTTGTTGTTTATGTTTGTTTGTTTGTCTTTGTTGTTGTTGTTGTTGTTGTTGTTTTATTACAAGCTTGTAGTTTTCTTCTTTGGAACCAGCCAAATGTCCCCACAAGGTCAAAAATGTCAGATATTCCAACATTTGTTGGGACAAACTGTTGGGTTTTTGTGTCTTGCTCTGTGAAGCAGTGGATTGTGGGTAAGAGTTGCATTGAAAATGCCCGTTTCCACCATCAGGGCAATAATTAAGAAGTTCCAGTCAACTGGAAATGTTATGAATCAGCCTGGAATTGGAAGAGTGTCTATATCGTCTCAACGCACTGTGAAGTGTGAAGCCAAAAATTCTCCAAGGATCACAGCTGGAGAATTGCAGAAGTTAGTTGTGTCTTGGGGTCAGAAAGTCTCCAAAACTACAAGCTGAAGTCACCTCCATCAGCACAAGTTGTTTGGAAGGGTTTCAAGAAAAAAGTCTCTACTCTCATCCAAAAACAAACTCGAGCGTCTTCAGTTTGCAGACACTACTGGAACTTCAAATGGGATCAGGTTCTATGGTCAGATTAAAGCAAAATAGAGCTTTTTGGCAATAAACACCGGAGGTGGTATTGGTACACAGAGAGGTAGCCATATGGAAAAGTACCTTATGCTCACGGTTAAATCTTTAATGTTTTGGGACTGTTTTTCTGCCAGAGGACCTGGACATTGTGTTAGGAGACATGGCATCATGGACTCAAATATCAACAGATATTAAATGAAGACCTGGCTGAATCTGCGAGAAAGCTGAAAATGGGCCGTGGTTGGATCTTCCAGAAGGACAATGATCCAAAACATACATCAAAATCACACCTCCAGGGTCGGGGGTTCGATTCCCTGCGGGGCCATGTGTGTGCGGAATCAGCATGTTCTCCCAGTGCTGCGGGGGTTTCCTCCGGGTACTCCGGTTTCCTCCCCCAGTCCAAAGACATGCACAGTAGGCTGATAGGCGTGTCTAAAGTGTCCGTAGTGTATGAATGGGTGTGTGAGTGTGTATGTGATTGTGCCCTGCAATGGACTGGCACCCTGTCCAGAGTGTACCCAGCCTTGTGCCCGATGCTCCCTGGGATAGGCTCCATGTTCCCCGTGACCCTGAGAAAGGAGTAAGCGGTAGAAGATGGATGGATGGATGGAAAATCAAGGTCCTGCCATGGCCATCCCAGTCCTATGACTTAAAACCCATAGAACACCTCTGGGGTGAACTGAAGAGAGTCCACCAGCGTGGACCTTTAAATCTGAAGGAACTGGAGAGATTCTGTATAGAGGAACAGTCTCAGAGCCATCGCCATATATTCTCCAACCTCCTCAGACATTATAGAAGAAGACTGCTTTGTTAAAAGCGCTACAAAAATAAAATTTTCCATATTGTCCATATTGATATCAGTTAGCTAACCAGCTGCTAGACACCGCTAGCGTATTAAAATAGCGGCATGTGTGTTACAAACACACAGAGGCTTGTGGGTGCACTTCGCTGTAGTCTGCATTAAGGAACGGCAAAGAAAGAGGATCATAATGAAATTTCTGAGCCTGGAGCTGCGATCAATATCCTCATCAGATCACTAAGAGCTGATGCGTTACTTTTACTTCGTCTGATTTCCAAGCCATTTGTACAACAAATCCCAGCAAGTCGAGGAACATGTCAGCCTGTAATACGACCTTCGTAACATCCACTGTAATACTCAAAGTACAAAGTGCTTATTTTTAAACAAAGCAAAGCGAGGCGAGGCATGGTGGCTTAGTGGTTAGCATTGTTGCCTCTTATCGCCAGGGTTGGGGGTTCGAATCCCACATCTGTCCTGTGTGTGTGAGGAGTTTACATGTTCTCCAGGGGATTCCTTCTCCCCAGTCCAAAGACATGCATTACAGCCTGATGGATTGGCATGTCCAAATTGTCCACAGTGTTTAAGTGTGTGTGCGATTGTATCCTGTGATGAGTTGGCACCCCGTCTAAAGTGTCCCGCACTCTACCGGCTTAAGAACCCTAGGAGTGACTAACCGACAGTCACCATTAGACGCGTTCATTTCTAATTCTATTTCTACCCCCAAAAGACGCCATTAAACTCATTTTTTGAATCCATTTTTTAACTCCAGCATTTCGCGATCGCAGACATGAACGCAAAATCAAGCAAACTCCCGCAATATTCCGAGGAGCTTCCGATTTCGCAAAAATCACTGCAGATTTTCTACGGGCCAAGATGCGTCATGTGACATCATCACGACGTGCATTCCCGTGTCAGACAGGAGTACAACAAACAATATCAACGCGACAGACAAAAAAACAAAAACAAAGAAAAGCACAAAAATCTCTAGTTGTATCACAAGTTTTGAACAAATGCCCCAGCAAAATCAAGCATTTTTGGCCACGACACAACAATCACAAACAAACAAACAAACAAACAAACAAAAAACTCCTGAGAAATTAATGTCAATTTCTACAAATACAGAAGTGACTACTACACTATATACTATACTATAGACTATACTTTACTACTACACTATATACACTAATTATATATATATATATATAACTATTGGGCGCGTCAACAAATAGTTATTTCAGCTATATTATATATAACTATATTTCCACTGAGGTTATTCACATGAAATTTTCACCAGACATCAGTATTAACTCAAGAAATCTGCAAATATAAAGAAAGCACAACATTAAAGTCCATAAATAAAGTTATGTGTAATAAAGTGGACACATTATATCAAATATGGCATGATAATGATACCCTGTTCACCTTTTCTGGTCGAGCCAGTGAACTTAGGGTTAGGGTTAGGGTAAAAAATCTCTTCTTGTACTCTCGTGGAAGCTTCCAGAAAACAACTTTATGTTGACATTTTCAGCCTTTTAAGCCAGAGCCAAATCTTCAGCCGAGTCGTCTGAGAATTGGCTGCGAGTACAGCAGTTTTGTCTTCACTCACAGTTTCGCTCTGCAGCTAAGTCTTGCAGAGAACATTTCATCGTCGAACCCTTTTGGGATTTTTCTTTAGTCTCGTGTAAAGGACTCAGCAGAAATGCTGTGTGTATACACGCACACACACACACACACACACACACACACACACATTGTTTTTTGATTTTTATATAAAGAGGCTCCTCTGTGGTTGAAGCATTGAGTATAAGACTGTGGGGGTTTTTTTTTCCATTTACCGTTTTGCTCTGAAACAAGAAGCTATGCGAGATGTTGAACTGTTTTCTTTGGTAGAAGACTCTGCAGCACCTCCATGAAGTTTATGAAAAACTTCTTTCGTTTGTGATGGCTCTATAGAGAGAATATCTGTGGGGTTTTTTTTTCTTCTTTCTTCCACAGGAAATTCACTGTTATTAGTTCAACTATTCTTGGTAAAAAAAAAAATAAAAATAAATAAATAAATAAATAAACGGGCTTATTTTTTTGTGCAGGCTCCCCTGTGGAAGTGAAGGTAGGTGTGATGGGTGTGTGAAGCTGGGAGCAGAGTGCAGTTCTCCAGATGGTTAGCCTGGAGGGAACAGAGCAAGGCGCTCCACCTCTGTCGATTAAACCCGGGAAATTAACCCCTGTGAGGATTTGTCTCTGTCACGCTCTGCTCCCTAACAGCCAACGATCAAAGCAGGTTATTTTAATCGCAACACGTCTCGGTGACTCATTTTTGGGTTAGTTCCTCCTCTCAGATCTACATAGGTTTATGTAGATTTTGCGTATAGTCACTCCATACAGAATTTCACAGGTGGGTTTTTTTTTTATTTTGTGATAATTGTGGCCAAAAACCATCGACATTTTTCAACAATTGCAATGCGAATGGGAAAAAAAAAAAACTATGCGAATTAGCAAAATCGCAATCGCCCCAAATTGTCTTGCGGTGATGTTTGTTGGTAAATGAGAACCTTTTTAGCTGTATTCACGTTCAATGTTGTGTCTTTGCCTTAATGAGAGTTTACAACTATGAAATGGACTTTAATTGGGATGACGCACTCGCTCTCTACTTTATTACCAACAGGGCAGAGCGGGTTGTCCACTAATCGTAGGGTTGGCGGTTCGATTCCCGGCCCAGGTGACTTCACATGCCGAAGTGTCCTTGGTACAGTTTCAATCGTACAGTTTCCGTGACAATGTTTACATGCACATCGATATTCTGATATGAATCGGGAGTTTCTCAATATTCTAATTAGTGTTGAGTCGTGTACATGTCACACTCTGATTGCATGCACGATTCAATATCCAGATTCCCCAAAACTTTGAATTCCCACCTCTGGAACATGCCCGTTTTAATCAGACATCTGTTTCATGTCAACGCCTTATTCAGAATATCCACTGAAAGGAGATATATTCTCATGCTCAGCCCGCAAGGAATTGTGGGTGCTAACGGATGCTTAGCTAGGTATTTAGGAATATTTCCAACAACCATGTACAGTATACAGGAATATTCCGATTGCCTGTACGTTTATAAACACCGTATTCGGAATACGGCTCCAACCCGAATATAGGCCTTAAATGGAATTTGATGTGCATGTAAACGTAGTCATTGAGTGGAACTCTTTGCAGTCTTCTGCTGTTCTTACCTTAACGTTTGATGTGGTGTTGTGTTCCGAGATGCTTTTCTGCTCAGCACGGTGGCAAAAAGTGGCTAGTTGAGGTACCATTGCACTTCCTGGCCATTCACCTCTGACCTCTATCAACAAGATGGTTCTACCTGCGGAACTCCATTTTTTTTTTTTGTTGTTTTGTGTAAACTTCCTGATGCTTGATGTGAGCATTAGTGTTGAATCTATATCTCTACGATTTCATGCACGGTGTTGCTGTCACATGACTGGCTGATAGGGTAATAGCATGACCAAGCAAGTCTCCCTAATCTACTTCCTAAGGGACTCTGACAAGTATTAAATGCTAAGTATTAGCATTAGCAAGTCTTTTTTAAAGAGTGTACTCACTGAAGGCCTTCTTGTCCCTAAAATCTCTATGACGATAAGTAGAGACGCCAACTTTAACGAGGTGCCTGTATTCAGATGAGTCGGAGTCCTTTTCTCAGCAGGCGTTTGCCACCGATCTGCATCGCGTCCCGTTTCTCGTTCAGAGAGGCAGCGGGAGGCTGTTCCTTCAGATCAGATCTTGCTACGCTAGGAGCGCTAGCTTTTATTCAGCTGTTAAGCTTGACAGTTTTCTTCAGTTAGTTAGCAAGAACTTTTCTTCTGTACTCCTGCGTTGCCAGACTTAATTTTTTTTTATTACATTTCCGTATCTACCTCTCCCAGACACAATAGAAGAGATTTCTCGTTGCATTATTTATGAACACATCTCTACACTGTATTCAGTCACTGAAACGCACCGTCAATCATACACTCTGGCAATTTTCTTACCAACCCAATACTTCATCTGTAATCCTTATGAAAGTGTTAGATTGATGTCAGAAAACTAGCTATGTGTCAGAACTCATATTTGCTTGTCCTTCCCTTCCTTCACTCTATCTATCTGGCTTTCTAATGTGAATTTTCCTTCATTTTCATCAATCTTAGGTTGTTTTCATCCTTTTTTTTTTTCTTTTCCTTTTTCTCTCTGGACTCAGGGCTGTTTGAGTTGAGTGTGATTGGTGACGTGTGAAGTGTGAACGGCGTTTTTGTCACTTCAAACGAAATGGGTTTCGGTCCGCGTCAGGTGTGGAAATATGGGAAGCCAGGGCCTTTCTGGTTGTTGCTATATAAAACATGACGTTCATAGGACTGGAGAACCGTAATCAGGTCAGTCGTGTGGCTCGAGTGTTTGTGAAAAATGTGTGCCCTTGGGCGCACAAACATATTCACACAGACGGGCGTGTTTAGGCTACGTCTACGTCGATCTGGACAGATCCGAAAACTTTCGAACGCTTTCCAAAAAATTGCTCGTACGCACGGAAACATCTGAAAGCGCGATTACCGCGCAGGCGTGAGAGGAAGCTTCGGTCTGCGTTCTTTCCATCGGACATACAGAAGAAACTGGAGAATCGTGAGAAATCCCATTCGATAACCCGACCTCGGGATCCAGGACCAGGAAGCGCTACTCGTTGATCCACCAAACATGTGTTGCCCGTTGCAACACCAAACATCAGTGGTCTCTCAATAAACAACACAAGACAGGCGTTAATGGAATCAAAACAGCGTGAGATACCAATAGCAGGGGATCTAATGATCTGTTAAGCATATTAGAGTTCTTTGTAGCGTTCGGCTCAGACCAGTAGCGGAAAGTCGCCTCGGAGGATGTGCGGAGAAAAAAAAAAACAAACACACACAAAAGCATGCTTTTCGATATGTGTACTCATTCACTCTCCATCCATCAAATCACTTGTACCTGTCAAGGTTGTAGTCCTGTGATGCCTCCGTCATCAGTAGTTGTTCCTGGGAGCTGTCATAACTGCGCCTTCGTGTCATTTTTTAACATTTAATGTGCACAGTCAGTGCTGTCACGGGGAATTCGTCAGGCTGAATGGGTCGAAATAGTAAACAAAACCTCCCCGGAGAGCTCTTTCAGACAAAAGCTAACTTTACTTCTGGTTAAACTGGCCTTTTGTCAAGGAAAGTGCGATCGGAGATGAACAAGACGGTTTAAGCGTCGCTTGAACAGAGCCGTTTGTACTGTTAACGCGTTGTTTCTCCTCGTATACAGAGCTGGTGGTTTTGTTCGCCGTTTGTTGTTGTTTTGTTTTTTTTTTAAATAGATTTTCTCAAGGCTACATGACCTCTAGTCCTACCCACTTACAGTCAGCTGCAGTGATTAAGTACAAATATGATGGAGGATTTCGACGCCGCCGGCTCCTGGACCGAACTGTGTCCTGTTCGTTTC